AGGCATACATGCGTGCATGCATGCGTTCATACGTACGCTGTTTAAGTAAGTAAGGAGTAGTTACATAGACATAAACCAACAAATCAGCAAACAAACGACAGCACAAGTAACTACATGAGCAACTGCACAATAAAATAAATGCGAAACTACATAAATAGAGGCAAACATGAATAGACATGAGTATGTATATACATGTAATGACATTTACATGCAGATGTATATGTACATGTAAATTTTTATGTAAATGTAAATGCAGATGTATATGTATATGTCACATGTATATGTATATGTATGTGTATCGGTTTGTGATGAAATATATACACACATATCATACAATTGCCATCGTCCGTGTACTTGTGTACAGGTTACTAGCAGCAGACTATGCCACAGCAAAGCAAGCCCTGCTTTGTGTGCTGTACTCTCAAGATAGGTCGACAACAGGAACGCAGATAGATAGAAAGCAGTAGCCAGTAGACTCCACGGACTGCTCGGATCTGCGATGGACGCGTGTATATCTGTGTTTATATATGCACACCTGTATACGTGTGTGTACATGCATGTGCGTACGTACATACCGACATACGTGTGTACGAAGGCATGTATGTAGCTGGGCGGGTGTGGTTAATGTGCAAAACGATTACATAGACGTGTATACACAGGAACAAGCTTATGATATGCATTGTTTGTGTTGTACACATATGTGCGCGTATATCCATCATCCATCTATCTATCTATTTATCTATCTATCTATCTGTCTATGTATCTATGTATCGATGCATCGATGTATCTACGTATCTAATCTATGTATCGATGCATCGATGTATCCACGTATCTATGTATCTCTGTATTTACCTATCTATGCATATATGTATCTATGTATCTATGTATCTATGTATCTTTGTATCTGTCTATCTGTCTATCTATCTATAAATGTACCCATCTATCCGTCCATCTGTGTGTCTGTCCATCCGTCCCATACCTGCTAGGCCTGTATGCATAGCGGGCGGTTGTATGTTTAGCGCTTCATCAGACAAGAAGCCCCGGGCTTGCAAGTTGCACAAGAGGAGGCGATGCTTCCAGCACTCCAACCAGAAATTCTGACTATGTCCTGAGGATGTGTGGTTTAGAGCAGAAGTTTGATGGTCGGTTCGGAGCCAAAATCACCGAGAACCTTGTTACCACTACCATCGTGCTTCTTGTGCCCCGGGATATATACTTGACGCTTCTTGAGCACGAAAGGCTCGAATGGTTATGCGATTGCGAGGATCGAGTGTCAGGCGCTGCACACAGCTTCCAAGGATGCTTTCCGCGAGTTTGCAGCAACTTGCTGAACTTGTCGAGAGAAACGGTGTGGTACAACTGCCGCGAGTGGCCAAAAGGTGTGGTCTGCCGTCAGGATCATTGCAGTCGTCGGAAAGATCTTCGAATTCTGTTATCCGATTCCCCATCTCCTGGCTTCGTGCAGGAGGTACGACATGCCGCAGTCCTTGCCATGCAAACGCCAGGACGTCAAAAAGTACGTTTGCAGTTCAGTGGGTGTTCTCTGAGCTGCGAGGTTCCCAGGCGATATCAAGGCCGAAGCTGTCCGGTGCTTAGTGACATCGAGACAGGGTTGCCTGGAAAAACGGAGGGTTGGCACCAGGAATTCTAGAGAAGCTTTTTTGGCCTTGCTTCATCCGCGGCTCTTCGATGCAGGCCCAGCGCCTGTGCGTGGACGGCTTACGCTACGAGAGCCTTGGCAGCACAGATGAGCAGATCTTTGTGTTCGCTGCAGCCCTGTGTGCCGAAGATCGAAGGTTGGAGTCGCTGAATAGCAGGCTGCCTGGTTCTTGTGCGGCTGCTTGAGTAGCTTGAGAAGATTCAAGGCGTGTCTGCAGATAGTCGCAGCAGTGGAGATCTAGCAAGTTGAAATTTACTCGGATGGTGTCGCTAGATCCGAATAATGGCGTCGCCATAAGGAGTTGAAAGAGAGCTGCTTGAAAGGGAGGTTGGCTGGTCTCCCGGTTTTCGCCAGTCGGCGCAATGTGAAGAGTGCAGCGTGTGCTGCGTTCGCACTGTGGGAACCTCAATCATCTCGAGCTGCTCTCCGATGCGGGTCGGCTGCTCCTGGTGAGGCTGGGGCACGACGTAGGGCTGCTGCGCCCTCAGATGAGTGGAAGCCTCGCCAAAAATTGCCTAGTAGAGACCGCTTTCAGGCCGTACCTTCAGGATGTGCAGGCTTGCCTGTCGGAGGCTAAGAAGATGCCAAATGCCGGGCGGAGAGGCTATGCCTGTGAAGTTGAGGCGCGACCGCTCGAGCCTTGTGAAGAAGCACGCCGCCACGGTGCTTGCCGCCTGGGGCTCTCCAGTAGCACAGCACGAGGCAAGCCCAGCAAGATTTGCCGAAGCGCAGTGGCAGAGCACGGTCCGGTCGCCTCTCGATAAGTATAGATACTACTATGTGTGTGTGTGTGTGTCTTTGCGGGTGTAGACATGCGTACGTGATCACAGGCGCCATTGATAGCCTCTGCCTCTGCAGCCTTGTGGCTCTGCGGCTCCAGCTCCGGCCCTCCACTTTCGGCCCATCGAGGCCGGAGCCGCTCCGAGGCTCGGGGGCACTGAGCCCTCAAGAACTGCCCCTTGTACACCCAAATTCTCTAATGTGTGGGCTTTTTGGCTCTTGCGGGGCGCTGGCGCTTCCTTTAACATCTCTTTTCGAGGTCATGGCCCTGGTCGCGACCCTCCGCAAGTCCAGCGTGGACAGCGAGGCCAGCACGGTCGCCCCTTGGACCGCTGAAGGGAATTCGCGACTGTTTGGGGATGTTCGAGTCGGTGCATCCTTGAGGTTCCCGAAGAGACCGAAAGACAGCACCTTGGACCTACACCGGTGCGGAAACGCGGCCACATGGACCCACCAACAATGTCGAGTTGCTGCCAGGTCGTCTGTCCAGCCTCTGGAACCAGTTCTACTGGAGCAAGTGCTGGCAGGTGCCGAGAGAGATCTGTAAGACCCATCGAAGCGGCTGAAAGCATACATTGCAGTTCTGGCGGTTGCCTTGGCCTGGATGATGCCCCTCCCACTTTGCATGGGGCGGGGCACCCAGCTGTTACGATTGCTTGGGAGCTTCGGACGCCACAGAGTCTTGAGCCAACTGCAGTGCTGAAAGCCTCCACAGGTGTGCCACTTTTCTGAAGGGTCGCCGTGGTGCGACTCCTGCGATTTTGCTGGCGCTGCTGCTTCGGTGCAAGCCTCAGCAGACGCCGCGAAACCCGCGCAATGGCAGCTAGGGCTCGTCTCGCAGCTTTGTCCTTCGCATCGGTCCGTGCCTGTATGCTCCTCTTGAAATGTGTTCCAGTTGAAGATTCGAAGGAATGTGCTCATCTTCGGACCCGATTTGTGTGTGGCTGGATGCCAGCTGCAAGGCCTCCAATAGTGTAAAATAGCCTATCCGCAACCCTAAACGAGTGAAGTGTTCCTCACAGCCCATGAGCTGCATGGGCCTCTGTTCTGCGCTGCAGCGCTGCGGCGCTTCCACCTTGCCTGCCGCGGCTGTGGCCGCGCCTGTGTCTGTAGCTGCGCCTGCGGCGGTGCCTTCTGCCGCGCATCCCGAGACTCGCAGCGTCCAAGGAGGCCCTGGCCGAGGCAGGGGTGGTGACAGTGGTGACCGGGGTCATGAGCGCGGGCCTTTTGCCGTCCTGCCCCATGGTGTGATCAGTTCAGGAGCCAGCGACAGCCAGCCACTTCAAGCGCTTCGCAGCAATGCAGAGGTACCGAGCGGCCAGAGGCTTCAACATCTCGTGGCCCCTTTCCCCACGCAGGCAGCAATGACCGAGATGGAAGCGAACTTTGACACGGGCAACTTGGACACTTCTGTCAAACTGTTCACGCTGAAGATCGCCAGATGTACCTGTGCTACTTAGACGTATGCAGGCATCTTCGATTTCCTCGCTCCTGCGCCGGCCGCGGAGGTTGGCAGTGCGAACTGTGTGGGCTTTGTGCTTCCCTTGCTTGAGGTCGTAAGTTTGGGTCTCAGGCCGGCAACCGTGATCTGCTGGACACGCTCCTTGAGAAGAGGAGCCGAGGTGGAGCGGGCAGGATTACGCATCGGTGCATCGTCGTAAGTATACCCACGGTCTCACAAGTGCAAGGTGCAATCGAAGACGTGGAAGGTGGTCGTTGGGCGACACACTTCTGGGATACCCGCAGCTCCTCGCGCACTCCGCAGTCGACGCCGTGAGCAAAAAACCGATTCTGCAGGGAAGTTGCATGGAGCATGATGTTCCGCGGCACCCAAAGCCCAGTGTACACCAGTGTACAGTGTATTGGGATGGTGTAGTGGCTCAGGTCTTATCGTCGCAGGACAGTGCCAAGGATCACTTCATAGGCCTGGTGTGCTTTGGGCTCGAACTGCCTGATATTCTTAGTCTCAGACTTAAGCAAGATTGGCTATGACCTTATGGAGTCTTTCGGCATGTTGATGCTCTCCACAGATGCCGCTGTCGGCTGCAAGCCAAGCCCGATGCCGCGGACTGCAGCCGATCGTTTGAGATGTCTGAAGCGACGAAGCCCTCCAATTCTTTTCTCCTGCTTTGACCTGGAGGGTCCGTGTGGGAAGGCCTGTAGGCTCGTTTCAATCAAGGGCCGCGGTGCCCAACAGGAAGCTGCTCTGGGATAGTGGGGTTGAGGACCTAGACCTAGGCGTTTAGGGGCACGAGACCTTCTACCCTACATGCGTGCCAAGTGTGCTGCCCTTCAGACAGGTTTGACGTTTCGAATGCTTGGAAGAGAGAGCGAGAGAGAGAGAGGGGGTCTTCCCCTAGGCGAAAGAGAGAGAAGGAGAAGGATAGAGTTTTCTTGTTGCACGGCTTCTGCAATCATTGGTTGTCAGAACACATTTCGGCATCAATTCCTACGTGTTCCAACTGCAGTGGTAGTTTTAGTTTACCTGTAGTTGATTACTTAGGCGGCGGTGATTGGTCAGAGTTCCGGAGAGCACACGAGGAATCCGATTCTGGTAGGCTACGATTCCTCCAGCTTTCATATCCGAGGCGAGGCGAAGGTTCAGGGACAGGAGTGGAGCCATGCAGCTTCCGGTTCCTTAGGATCGAAGGACTTGCAGCAGTTCCTTCCGAGCCTTTAGTTTATGGAGTCCTCGGGTGTCGGAGCCTAAGTTTCAAGTCGGCCCGACCCTGGACACCCTCCGATGCATGTCGGAAGAAAGCGATCCGACCCAGCCAAGCGCATGGTTTGGTTGCCATAGACTGGGCTGCATGGATTTTGCCTTGGTCTGCCTTGACAGCGACGTTTCTAGTCGCACGTATTCCGTTTCCAATAGGACGATCCGGCTTGCTTTCCCACTTCTCGCCTGAACTTTGATGACTCAGTCCTGCACCATCCTGCACCATAGTCAGGAGCATGTTTGCAGGTTCCCCTTGATGTTTGGAAACCTTGCAACATCGCAGCTCGGTTGTAGTTGTAGGCGAAACCGGACCAGCACCCTGAGATAACCTTTCCCACGTGTCGGGCTCCAGATGACATCCGCATGTACCTAGTCATCCACATAGATCCCTCTTTGCTTCCAGCGACGCACAAGGCAGGGCAACCTCGAATATCTGCCGCAGGTCTTCACGGCATTTCGGTGGCCTTTGTTCTCAGGCGGTACCCCGACGGCTACCTTGCGAGTCCCGGGACAGCATCCAGAATGTGAAGGGCCATGCCCTCAGAAAATCCCGAGCACGACATAAGAAGCCAGACAGCTGCGATGATCTGCCAGGCTTCATCACCGAGTTGTACGGCGTTCCCTTCCTGCGCCAGGCAGGCCCTGCCGGTGTTGGGGGATTGGATCGGGTCTCTTGGATTAGATGCGATTCTCGGTGAGATTTCTGGGCTTGCTCAGGTCATGTAATCTCTGCATAACATACATCTGAAGTTCAGCTGCGTGCTATGTTCCCACGTCTATGCGTATTCCTGGACGGTCAGTGATTAGTGTTGAGCACGGCCTTACTCTAGGATCTTCATGTCGAACGCATGTCAGTACGGATTCAAAAACAGGACCTGTACTTCAATGGCGTTCTCTTGCATGACGACGGCGTCACCCTGGACTCGCTGGGGATCGACGACGAGGATTGTCAATTCGCGTGTTGCAGGAATTTCGGCAACGAAAAACGAACCTCCTGAAGTCATGGAAACTACTGACAGTTCCTCGCATTCTCATTACCTGCAGCTGTCGCGTAGGCGCGAGATCGGTCAAACAACGATCACTGCAGAAAAGAGTTAGAGAGAAGTTAGTGTGACGCAATTTTTATGGCTGAAGTTCTGAAGGCCGGTTGCCTGCACCCGTACGTACAGCTACTTCTTTCTGCTACATCATTCTTTGTGTCTGGTGCGACGTGCCATCTCCGGCTTCTTCCGTACATTGATGCAGAATCGCCATTTGACCAGTCCGCGTGGAAGGCCGGTTTGTTTTTAACACACCCCGAGCACCGACGCGGTCTTCAGTCTCATGCTGTGCGCATCGTTACGGATGTCGTTTCAGCTGCTCGCACAAGCTACACTGTCAGGTTGAGATTCGGCTGGCAGTAACTCAAATTCTGACGCCTCTGCTAGCTCGAAATCATATCGAGAGCGCGGGCTGGAGTTGTTCGGGCAATGCCAGGTAAGTCGAACATGTTGGACGGTGTCGCGCAGCCTGCTCGCGGCGCGGAGAGCAGCGACTCGTAGGCTATAGCTGTAGGCTGTAATTCGCGAGCGCATGACCGCTCGGATCCACCAAAGGGTATGTGCTGTCGTAAATGTAGGATTGTGTATTTTTGTTAAGCCCTGCTTGTAACAGAGATGGCAACAAACTGCTTGGACTTGGGGCTTGGAAGGATGAGCTCGCTGTGCGCCCCAAGCGCCGCCAGGGTGCGCTGCTGCGTGGCGCGGCCGCGACGTCGCGGGCAGCGCGCTGGGCTCCCAGCAGGCGTTGGACCATCGTAAGTTGTTGCGGGCGCAGGGCTTTTCAAGAGCCGATGGTACCAGGCTTCTCACTTCTCTGCCCCTTTCTCTGAGGTTCGGGCTCTTGGAGCACAGGGGATGCTCGTGGCAGCTTCGAAGCGCCAGTAGCTCAAGAGATCCGACGTGAACACGGCTCGGGCTCGGAGAGTTGCCGTCAAGTCTGAGGCAGAAGGTCTTGCAGCTGCCCGGAGGAGAGGTGGCCTTTCAGGTGCCTAGCTGACCAACATGTCACTTACCATGCGTTGCGATGGTCCTGTCATCCGCAATTGGGCTCTTCGCATGCAGTGTCTCTCTCTGCACGGTCGTGCTGAGGCATGTGCTCTTACATCTTCCATTGCACTCCTGTATTGGCTGGATTTCAGGGAACATTCAGCTAGCAGCACCTGCTGAGAGCAGAGTTAGCGCCAGGTCGCGGCCGTAGAACTATGATGAAATGTCGTACGATGCATCACAACCACCTCAGCTAACTCGGCAAAAAGAGATGCAGTCCTAGGCAAGAATCGCCGCAAATGGACCGCTTTCATCAGCCAAGTCACAGGGGCCCAAAAGCCCAGCAGAAGGCCGAGAAGTGCATCTCGACCTGGCGAAAAGCTCGCAGAGATGAGCGGCCCAACCTGGAGAAAGTGAGCAATGTTTCATTGCTCAAAGGTTTGGCGTCAAGAACCGCGGTTCTTGCAGATCGGCCCCTTGGTATGCCAGGGGATTCGGAAGAGGCAGTTTGGGTGGAGTACTTCCGCGGAGTGAAGACCACTTGGCGGGTGTGCTTCACTGCCAAGAACTTTACGCTTACGCAGCTTCTGCAGAGCCAGAACGAGTGGCTGCAACTCCGGCAGGCTCTCGTTACAGCGACGCGTTACGGACTTCAGAAGTCCTTGATTCGGGAACGCGGTGAGTTCAGGGCCCCTGTGTCGAAGATCGTCGTGGAGGCCGTGAGGCTGCTGAGTGAAGATCCCAAGGAGGATTCGGGAGCGACCTTTGCCACCAACGTTTTCCTGGAATGTGCTGCAGAGTCAGAGGAGGCAGAAGCTCTGGTGCGCAAAGCCATGAAAAGCAGTGGCTTGAAAGCGGACTTTGCCGAGGTCCTCACAGGTTGCCTTTCGCAGTTGGAGCGAGGCACTTCGATTTCCGCGGATTCGGTTGTTGTTTGTCAGGAGCTGCCAAAGGAGATCGAGCTGAGAGGCGGTCACGGAGAGCAGCTCTTCGTGGCAGCCGTTCCCGACTGCAGCCGTGCAGCTAACCACGGGCTTTGCGAAGGCTTCGAACTCCTGGCCATGGTTTTTCTTTCTCCTTTAGGGGAGAAGAAGTCTATCCAGGACAAGGCCTTGCAGGCCCTTCGCAGCGATCAGGCGGGATGCTCAAGATCCCAGTTGCCGAGAAGTGGTCTTGAGGATCTGGCAGACACCTTTTCTCTTTAAACCCTTAGGCTTAGAGAGTGCAGCCCTGCAGGTGCTGTCCAAGCTGGCGCCTGTTTCGGTCCGGCTCTGCTTTCGGAGTCCCTTCGCCAAGCTCCCACGCTTCTCCTCCAAGCAGCTGGCAGATCGCATGGGCTCCTGGGACTCTGCTGGGCTCCGCTGGTGGGCTCCTTTGTTTCTTTTTTTCGAAGAGAGAGAGATTCTGTTGCCAAGGCTTCGGGAAGATCCGGGAGCACCTCGGCTCAGGGAGGAGGGTTTGTAGAATGGGACTCCTCTAGGGCAGGCTGGGGATGCGATTTTGGGCTCTGTGCCATTCTGCGCCCCTGAGGCTGCACTTTCACCGGCTCGTAGAGAATTTGAAGTACAACTGGCGACCGCTGCACTTGGAGAAGCGCCATGAGCTGCGGCAGCTGGAGAGGGCCTGTGATGCAGATGACTCCGGCCGTGCCATGCTTGTGGAAAACATCCAGTGGGGAAGCCGTGAGCTACAGCGTGACTCGATGCTACGCTTGAACTCTCGGGCCGACTTCCTTTTGATGTCAGAGCTCCCCGAGCTTCCCCTCCCCGAGAAGCTCGAAATCGGCCGGCCCCGCCACGCTCGGAAGCTTCGGCCGAAAGGCCTTCGAGAGGCTTTGCGCGAAGCGGGCATCTATTGGCTCCGCGAGCCGGAGGCAGTTGCCAGTTACTAGTAGCAGCATGCAAGTCGGTGCTGATTTCGTCTTCCGACTTCTGACTGCGATTAGCAATCGGAATCTAAGCCCAACTCCTGCTATGCAGGAAGAGATGCTGCTCGAGGTTCTGCAGCAGGAGCGCTTCGCAGGAGATGAAAGCGAGAGCTCCGAGAGCTGGGAGGAGGCCTTGGCCGATGCCTTCGTCATCGACTCGGCGGGCCACTTCTCGAAGATCGGCTCGGGAACTTTGAGGACCCGGCAAACTTCCTATATGAAACTAAAATAGAGTCCTAATCTCCCAGGAGGCTTCTATAGTACTGTGAGTTATAAGGTTCCTCGAAAGCTTCCAATCCGATAAGCCGCCCCAGGACACATCACGTCTTCCACGTGACGAAGAAGATCAAAGAGACCTTGCGCTGCAAAGCAGAGGCGAAGGGAGGCTTGCTCGCTGCGTCGATCTCGAGGTCGGAGTTTGCCAGCATCCTCAATGCGGGCAGCATCATGTGGCTAACGCGCGAGCAGATGGATGTCATCTTCTCTGTGATTGGAGGCCAAGATGCCGAGGCCGGCAATCCGGCATCGAAGGAAGTTGCGCTGCTCCTACCCCACCCCCCACCCACTCCGACTGCTAGGGGTCAGTGTTGATTGCCGTTGAAGCAGGCCGGGATCAGCCTCAGCGACTGGGTCTCCCGTTTCTCCTGGGATCCGATGCAGGCGGCCACGGAGGTTCAGCGGGTTCTGGATGTTTGGGCCCGGCGCTTTGCTGAGGGGAGGGCCGTGCCGTACTTCAGGGGCTGGAGTGTGCAGAACCAGGGACGGGCCGCGTATTACCCTCCTCCCCGGCCTCGAAGCCTGCACTTCTGGGATTTCCATATGGTGCTCACGGACATGGGGGTGCATTGGCTAAGCTTGGAGCAGCAGCGCCTCTTGTTCCAGTCGCTGGATGCAAATCGCAATGGCCGTGTGGAGGTGGAGGAGTTGCAGGTTTTCGCTGACAAGAGGGTGGAAGTTGAGATGAAAAGGGTGGAGCAGATGGCCTCGGCGGGAGAGGATGACTCAGATGTTGAGGAGGTTCCAGACGCTCGCGGCCAGGCAGAGGCCGCAGCAGAGGTGGAGGGAGAGGAGGGAGAGGAGGCTGAGTCTGAGGAGGCTGTGGAGGCTGAGGCTGAGGTTGCGGACGAGTCCAGGGATCCGGATAGCCCGGCAACGAAGTACACAGCTTCCGAATTCTACGATGAGGCTTCCGATGCTCCCGAGGAGCACAGGGAGGTGCCGAAGGAATCCGAGGGGAGTCCTGAGATGCAGCAAAGCCTGCAGCTCTCGGAAGCCCAGAGTGGTGACTACAGCGGTTCCCTCTCGCAAAGTGCGAGTCCTGACAGCCCGGCAAGCGGATACCCCGACTCCTTCGAAAGCCCTTGAAGATAAGCGTGCTGTGGGTGCTCCCAAGTAGCGAGTCGCAGAGGTGCTTGAGCCCGCGACTTCCGACTTGCGCAGGTCACCTCGGAAAGCCGATGAAGCCGAAGCCGCCCTGAGAGCTGGCAAGGGGCCAAAGTGCCCTGCCTTCTTTGTACTATGGCTACAAGTAGCAGGGTGGAGGTACCGGAAAGCTGGAAAGCCGGCAAGTAATCAGGATCAAAAACAGCTCTCTGTTCTCACTGATGTCCGGCATGTCGCAGTGTGGCGATGCCGCCACTGTCATGCCAGAATGCGCGCGCCGTCATCCAAGAGCTTGGCCGCATGGCAAGTCGGCTTCTCAGAAACGCCGTCAGCTAACCCGGATCGCATTGCGCCCTTTGCACCCGAGTTGGCGATCGCGATCCCACCGTGAGGGCCGCTTCCTGTGATGCGCCGGGGCCCCGAAGATGCTGCACGAGACTACGAGAGGGACTGCGAGAGGGGCCCAGCTTTGCTGGCTCTTGTCGGAGAGCGATGGCGAGGCTTGGCAACGTGCTGGCCAAGGGCTCAGGACGGGGCCTTCTCCGACCGAGTCGCGACCACTCCTTCCGCCTCTGCCCTAAATCCTTAACTGATCCTCATGAAGCCATGCCTGCTTGTGCGAGTGCCTAAACCCTAAACCCTAAGTCCGAGTGTGACCCAACAAGCCCTTAAGACTTAGCCGTGCCACGCCGACTCAAAACTGCGAGACCTCGCCTGGCGAGCGTAACACGAAGTCTTGCGAGACGGAGACGCCACGGATCCGAGCCGCTCCGAGGAAGGGGCACCGGAGCTCCCTCCGCTGCCGAGACCCGAGGAGGCCGAGGAGGCTGCAGAGACCGAGGCCGAGGCCGGGCCTGGAGGATTACTTTAAAGCGTGTCTGTGTGTGTGTGTGTATATATATATATACATATATATATATATATACTATATTATGCTCTTTTCTATTCTGTTATACTAAATTATTTTGAGCATAATCTATTATGTTATACTATATTATGTTATATCATACTATATTGTGTTATATTATATGGTGCTATATTACATCAAAAATATTATATGATCTGTGTTTTATCGTGCTTTTAATTTGTTTCAGGGACTTCGACGAGGGATACTAGGGGGTTTTGGGGGTCAGAGGAAAGAGGGCTTAGAGGGAGTTTTGGGTTTTGGGCCTGGGTTTATGGGGCCGTATTCGGAGGCATGGCATACGACACTCTTGCTGATCGATCACAAGTGCATCGGTCACCTTGCTGATGCTTCTTGCTCGCCTGAAGGCCACAACCGAAGCCGATGCCAAACCTCCGGAGGCAAGAGGGCATCTCAAGATACTCCGAAAGAGAGGATTGCCAGATGATGCAACTTCCTTTCAGGTTCCTGTTGGTGCATGCCAGGGGTTGTTTAGTCTTTCTGACTTGGGTGCATCTCGGTGCAGTAGCTGGCCACTCGGAAAAGTCTACAGTGCCCTTCACTTCACATGCAAGCCTCCGCCCTTCAAATTTGAACCTGTCATTTCTCGTTTTTTTGGGCACCTGCTGCTGCTCCTCCACAACAAGCAAGGTGTAAGTGGATAGCAAGCCATATGATGAAGATGACGATGGGGAGCATCAAGATAATGATCCCGATGGTAGGGTGGGGGTGGTGGTGGTGGTGGTGGTGGTAGATGTGCTCGAGCTGAATAGTGGCTCTTTACAAAGAGCCGCGACTGCTTGTCATGGTCGTCGATGCTAGATCAGGAAAAAGCTATGGAGGCACTGGTAATCCGGCCATGGTCGTCGTCGTGGGTAGGGTCGGGATTTCGGGTGATTTAGGAGCGGAAGCAAGTACCGGCGAACTACGAGAGGAATGGAACGAGACACGCAACAGGAACACTCTGTCTAAGAAGTGTGTCGCTTGTTGAGTCATGTCTTGCTCTGAGCGGCAGGAAGCAGATGAGGAAGGAAAGGCCGCTCGCTTGGTTCCGAAGACAGCTGAGAAGAGACTAAATTTCCAGTAGGTGGGAAGAAGATGGAAACGGAGAGAGCCTGTATGCCGGCTTGCTCCGACCTTGCAGGAAGAAGAGCTAAACGCGGAATAGGCGTGTGTGTGCGTGTGTGTGTGTGTGTGTGTGTGTCTGTTGTACGCCACGCGCTGAAGACAACGGTGAAATTTAAAGCTCCACTTGCCTCGGAGTGTGGGCGGCACACCTTGCATCCTTCGGCTACGCCTGTGTCAGCCGTCATCCCGAAAATGAGGGCGCCCTCAAAGCACAGCACCAGAGTTCGTCTCGGCACTGGGTGCCATCAAGGGATGAGGGGACAGAGAGTGCACAGTCACTGAAGTTGACGTCAGACATGCTTAGGCCGACGCCGATGCAGAAGGGGAAGAGGCCGAGCGCTGCCCTCATCTTCGAATCACTTGAAAGAGCCACCCTCCAGACCAGATCTTGAAGCGATCAAAGTTTTTGTGGGGAGCATTCCGCCACTCCGACCTCGGATTCTTGGGAGCCCCTGGCGCCAACTGTGAACGAAAGCGCCCATGGGAGTTTTTCTGAACTGAACATCGGGACCTTTTAGGGACCCGCGGGCGGTTTTCAGACCTGCTCCGTGCCTGCATCCGAGGGCCCGGCCGAGAGCGCGAGCGCGCACCGACACGGACGAGGCCAGCTTTGGGAGTTAGCAAATTCCTTAGCATCTCTCAGTGGCAAAGAGTAGACCTGCGTAGACATCGTATACACGTAAATGCATGCATGCATACACACACACACACGCTCTCACACACTGACATGCACAGACGTACATACGCTCACATATACGCACAGAGTACAGACGTAGAAGGATGCTGCACTCTTCGAAGTTGGCCAGATTGCAGCCAATAGCAAGCTTGACATGGCACCGCTCCGCAATACAACTTGGTGCGGCTGTTTATTTTGCGAATCCAGAAAAACCATCTGTACCGAGCAGTCTGCCGTCCGCATCCTCCACAATCTCGCAGAACTGCCAGACCTCCGACTAGTATGCTCGTCGTTTCGTGCGTAAGGTAGCCGTGCAAGTGGTAGAAAAACTTTCGAACACAGCACTGCACAGGAGATGCAGCCGTTGGCTGTATCCGTCCGCTACATTGCTCGGCTGCTTCAGAGCGACGAGTACGCATGCGCCCAAGTCGTGGCTCTAGGTGTTGTCCATACAAGTGAAGCGTGCCGACGTGTGGGACATCAGATATTACGTTGTACTAAAACATAGTACAGTGCCGCATAGTCTATAGCATAATATAGCAATAGAGTATCGTATCTTATAACACAGCATGGTAAACTGTACTATGGTCGAGGAAAAGCATAGCACAGTATAGTATATGATCTTGTGCAGTATATTATGGTTTGGCTTTGCTTTCAGGATGTTCTGGACACGTCACGCAGATGTCAGATCGCTGCCTCAACCATTGTGCACCCACACTGGAATCTCACGCCTCGGATAGATCCATGTACCAGTAGTTCGCATGAAAGCTCACCCATCCTACTAAGTCCTGGCGGGTTGGGCGACCTCAGACCTGCAAGCCACATGGCACAGGATGAACCCTGAACCTCAGAAGTCAACTTTGCGCTTCTGTTGGCGATGAGCCATGGCATCTTTTGGCCGCAAGTCCAAAGTTGCAAAGCCGGGTGCAGTCTCCACCAAGACCACGGAAGAGAAGAAGGCAGCGGAGTGCGAAGAGGGTACAAGGATTTAGAGGGAGAGGTATGCCCACAGATGCAAGGTCCTACTCCCATCAACCCACGCAATGCCGGATCATCGGCAGGTGGACGTTTGTTACTCGCATCCCAATACGTTACTGCAGCCCTTGAAGCCTCTCTTCCTCACCGCACTCTTTCAACAGCAAGCAGGAAGGCCCTTGACCCCAGCGCGATTTGACTCGAGATGACTTGAGTATCTGAGCCCTATCATCCTGAACCCGGCGGTCCGCCAAGCTCTCAGAATCGAAACCCACCGTCCGAAGCCCAAAGCCGACCAGCGCCCAAAAAGGCCCTCGTGATCCCCACAAGAGCAAAGCCGAAACCCACAAACAAACACGCTGCAGCCCTCTGCACAGGACCGCGTGTCTTTAAAGGAGCTGCTGGCCGAGGAGGAGGAACGGGAGCGCTTCGCAGAAGAGCCCCCAGGACGAAGCAACATTCGGCTCTTACGGATCTGGGGTTTAGGGTTTAGACTTCGAGGTTTAGGGCTTAGGGTTTTAGACTCAATGGGTTTGTTCATGCATGCAGTGTTTTGGGGTTGAGGCTGAACAGTCGATTCAGGGATTCAGGATTTGGCGGTCATAAAGTTTAAAGCTTTTCTTGAGGGTCTTAGCTTTCGTAGCTTCTCTTCCTGCCGGCAGTCTGTGCGAACTTGCAACCAAAGCCATTTGGGTGAAGCTCGTTCTTGAGACAGAGTTTGGTGTCGGGACGCTTTCCAATCCTAAAAAACTCTTAAAAACACAGTCAACGGCACCTTACCAAGCCAAACTTCAAAGCTTGAGGCAGCCTGTAGTCTTAGCAAACGGATAACAGCATCCACAAGTTTGCACACACACACACACTCAGACTCGCACACACACACACGCACACACACACACACACACACATATATATATATATATACATACATACACACACACACACACATATATATATATATATATATGTATATATCTTATGTATATATGCACACATGGACACATTCATAATACTGGAGCTCCAACAACATGTCTTTGTATGTGTGCTGTATGTGTGTGTATATATACATAAATATGCAGATGCACACACAAGCCTACGTATAGATTGTATAGATGTAGATGCAGAATTGAGGTTTGACAAGAAGGAGAAGGCCGCTGAGCGAGAGCGCCAGAAGCAGAGCAAGGACTGCTCTGCTTTGAGTTCGAGCTGTGGCAAATCGGGGCTCAGGGTCGAGACCTGAGGAGTCGGGCTGCTGCTTTGACAAGTAGTAAGGACCCGGTAACCAGGTAACAGAAACAC